CTCTCCTTTCTCCTTTGTCTTCTCCACACGGAAGCCTTCTTTGGGACCGGGGGAGGGATACAGTGTTTCTGCAGCAGCTGTTGTATAGATTCTCGTGGAGATATGGTTATTTCTCACTTCGTCTTCCTACCTTTCCTACCTTTTTCCACTGTCACAGTCTGTAGAGACCCCTCTCATCTTGGGTCTGCTAACAAATCAGTTGACCCTCTTCACACCTTCTTGGCCCCTGCAAACAGCAAAGCTTTTATTTTGGCCTAGTTTTCAAGCTATAATATGCTGTCTTTCTGGCATCCATAATACCCGAATCATATTTACTTGCGAGTCCCCATTTGTTTTGGAATGCAATTTTATGTTTGAAAAGAGCAAGGATGCCAGTAAATGTTTGGTTTAGGATTTTATTTCTGCTTATATTGATGTCTCAATTTATTTTATTATGGACTAAGAACACAGTTTAACGTGCCTTAGTCACGAAAGCATTAAATTAACAGTATAAAATATGGAATATTTTTTGAAGCAGAGAAGATGCCGGGTTTATTTTTTTTCAGCCTAACAGAGAAACTGGCATGAATTGATCAAGGGGAAACACAAGACAAAGGCTAAGAATTCAGCATATAATCCCCCAGGTAATGATAGGAGCAGCCAGCCAAAACAACGTAAGACAGGGAAACAAATCAAATGTGTATCTGGGCAACCAACCTATTCACAGCAAACACCCAGCAGTTATGGGCGCCGCAATGGAGACCCTCTCCCAAGGAGGCTTTTTTGGGCAGTGTTCCTGCTTAGGGTCACCGGGGAGACAAGCAGCTCCTTAGCAACCCTTCAAACTGGCTTCACACTGAAAATCCGAGAGCTGGGATGAAACCTGTTCATTGCATCACAGTCATAATGCAGTGTTATCTAGTTACGTCATACGTCTGATTTGATTGCGAGTATTTAGACTCGTGAATGGCGGCAGGGTGATGGTGTGGTTAGCTGAAACCCCTGGAGACCCAGGCTCTAATTGGAGCAGCCAGATTACCTGCAGGTGGGCCATGTGGGGGGGGTGTGTGCCCTGCGATGGCTTGGCACCTCATCCTGGGTTATTCTTTACCTTGTGGCCCATGTTTCCTGGGTGAGCTGTGGATCCCTGCAGCCCTTTAGGACAAGCGGATGGATGGATGAATAGACTCCTGAATCACATCAACAGGCTTTTGTATCTTTTCTGTATTGTTCCTTCATGTTCTATTACTGCTGACACTATTAAAACCTCCATGCTTCAAGGTGTGACAGTGAATTACAGGTCATCCCCAGATGACGTATCCTGGTTTGCATTGTCGGTTTATTTCGTTGTTGTTTTTTACCCTGATCCACCCGCAGTTACAGCACTACACCAGCCGGCCTGGTCAGACCGTGGTGACGTAGAGTGGTGTTCGCTTGTCACCCATCATACGGATCAGTGGGCAGGTGCTGGCATGTGGAGGAATCGCTCTTCCCTGCAAACCGAAGTCTTTTACCGAAAGCTATTTAAGATTCCTCTTGGGTGTCTGTCATTGGTCAGCTCTTACTTGACGTTCCCGCTGAATCTCTGAATTAGTCCAGTAAGGCTTGAAGATGGGTTGGCTCACAGGCCTTTCGAGGGGGTGTTCGGGACGTGCCTATCTCCCTTAAACAGCCCAATTTCTTAGAAAAACAGCAGAGTCTTTGATCCCAGACCAGCACTGTTGTGTCACCTTCTATGCTGAAACACTAAATCAGAGGAATGAGAACTTGAGAAATGAAGAGAGTTTCTGTGCTTTGCAAGAATTTAATGCGGTACGCTGATTAGCAGAACGGCTTTCCTGGCCGGCTTTACCTTCCTGTTCCCCCACCCCAGGGCAGCTGCAGTGTGGTGCGCCAGCAGCCATGCCACCCTGTGACTCAGAACTACCATCGATAAATCTAAGACTTTTTATTGCTAATCCATCTTGAGTATCCGTGCCAGGCCATCAGCACTGACCCTGAGATTTTCCTTTGTTTTCTCACTGGGTCCATGACAAGCCATTTGGACCCGCAGTGTCCCAGGCCCAAGGAACAAGCCGGGCTTAACAAAGAAGCCAGTTGGACCCGCAGTGTCCTGGGCTTAAGGAACAAGCCGGGTTTAACAAAGAAGCCAGTTGGACCCGCAGTGTCCTGGGCTNGGGTTTAACAAAGAAGCCAGTTGGACCCGCAGTGTCCTGGGCTTAAGGAACCAGCCAGTTGGACCAGCCACATCTCAGCCATGAATTTTGATTTTTTTCCCAATCTCACCATATATAAGTCTGGGATTTTGATTCATGTGGCTGTTTCTCCACCAACGGCTGAAACCTTAGTTATCATCCCTACTATGCTGATTATGCTGATTAAGCTAGTGGACCAATTTATGGTAGTTGACCAGCTTAAGGTATGTTCTCGCTTGATGGTTTGACGGTTTAGCTGGTCATACCATCATGACCAGATTGATAGTCTGGCCACATCAGAATAACCAACTGGTGACCCACCCAGCTCAACCATCAAAGAGCAGCATCTTAGACCAGCTAAAACCAACCACCAGCATAAGCTGGTTTTTACCTGGATCAGTAAACAAGACGATAAAGGAAAGAATATTCGCAGGTTATTCACTTTCTGATATTATTAACAGGCCGTATTGCCAAGGGACCCAGGCTGGACCCATGCAGCGAGCAGCGATCATTTCAGACCCGCTGAGCGGCTCGGCGGCCGTCCGGTCCGCACTGGAGGAATGCAGCCCTCGTCATGACTCACCGCCACGCTCGCCTCCTCTGGGGCCGCAGCTGCAGCCGCTAATGACATCCCATGGCTGCGGCCGCATTCCCCAGTGCCTCATAAAAAAAGAAAGCAGAGCGCGGCGGGAGAGATGCTGGCGGGACTGGGGAAATGCGTGGTCGCGCTCCCACATGCACCGTGACATTCGGATCGGTCCACCCGCAAGGCCAGGCTCCTACCTTCCCCACATTCTTCATAAGCCACAATGAACCGAGGATGAAATACGATAGCTGTCAGCCTTTTTCCTTCTTAAGCAGATGATGCCTTCGATTCTCGCCTGATGAAAAGCAGCAGATAATCACGCCACAGTGAGGAGTGGTAATTATCAAGTGTGTCTAGTATCGGTCGAGGGCTTGTAATAAATAGAGTGACATCACTATACCAGCCAATACCATAATTGTTGTCTTAGGAATATTTATAGGGATATGATTTAATTACTGTATGTCTCTGGGCAAAATAATGAATAAACATCACAATATTATTTGTAAGGTCTGCATGGAGTTGCAATGAAAGGAGAGCTGTTGAATATAAATAAGACATTTTTTAGGTCTACTTTATGAAATATCGTTTAGTTCTATTTATCTGGTGTTCCAATTGGATCCTTTTGCTAACTTTTATGGCACCATGAAATAATTGCCATTCATCATTGCATTTATGGGCGGAGTTTGGGGGGTAGCGGGTCACCTAAGTTGAAATTGCAATTAAATGATAATACTAGAGCCGCATGTTCTATGCTGGCACTTTGCACCTTTGCATAAGCAATATGTTGGTGCTCTATAGGCAAACAAAATAATAGATCACGTGTGTATCAGATATACGCATTAACACATAAGGTAAGCAAGATGTTTTGTTTTGTTTTTTTTGTCCCCCAAATGCACACATCAGACTCCTATGATTGCATTCCCTGGTTAACGTCCATTGTCAACAGTCTCAGGTGCAGAGGTGGAAAGTTCAGGTTCAGAAAGTACAAATCCGGACCAAGTTTTTGTTTTAACAAAGCAACTGAGTACTCTGAGAATGTGACTCTATATACTCAACTAGATTGTTGAAACAAAAACTTGGTCTGGATTTGTACTTTCTGAACCTGAACTTTCCACATCTTTTCCAGCATCACAGAGTAATGGCTGTGAGAACTTCCCCCGACCTCACATTCCATGTCAGTCTGTGAATGCGAATCACAAAACTTGTAATATTGAGCTTCCTGCTGTGCAAATATTCAGATACATCCGTGTTAAATGCTTAATCTCTACTGCCTCCCGTCGCTTGCAGTCAAAAAAAGAAAAACACAATTAGTTTGTCAAGCACTGCCGAGTGTATCAGTTCTGGCTCACAGACGACCAGTTCCTGAGTGGTCTCCCAATAACGGAGGTTGTTTTATCAAATGTCAGGAAGGCGGATATGAGACTGGCTCAGTTCAGTGGTCAGTTTTCACACAGATATCATTTAACTGTATTGTAAAAGCAATAATTGCATGCAGGATTAAATGTTTGATCTGCCTCTGCTCAGGCTGCACATTGTTCAGCATGCAGGCATAGTTTGAATCATTTTTCCTTTCCCTGTGGCTACATCTGCTGAATATAGCTGTATTGTGCTGGCAGTAGACTTCATTATTATGTAATTAAGCTTTACAGTTAGTGAGTCTTTGCATGCCACAAAGATGATATATGTTTGCACAGCATGCTGAGTGTGTTCATATATGTGAGGCACTCTGGGACAACTGTGTTGGGAAGAGCCCTTGTGTGTGTGTGTGTGTGTGTGTGTGTGTGGAGTTTGTTTCTGTTTGCATGTGTTTCCTCTGGATGCTCTGGACTTCTGCCATGGTCCAAAGACATGTACTTAGGCAGAGGTGGTCCTAGGGACTCTAGGGGCCTTAAGCAAAAAATAATCCACGGGGTGATTCGACACACTCTCGCTCGACATGGTATAATTTTTTTTTATCATTATTTCAGCATGAACCCTAAATTAATAATACCAGTAAAGAGAATTACGCAAGTCCTTTATTTTCACTTTGGTGGTAAACAGAATACATAAATAAAGCTAATTTGTCGTTGTGATGTACTATATAATCGGCCGCCCTCGGGGGCCCCCTCCCCGTGGGGGGCCCCAGGCCATCGCCTGCCTTGCCTGTCCTGTCGCTGAACCTCTGTACTTAGGCCAATTGATGCCTCTAGATTGCCTGTTGAGTGTGGGTGTGCCGTGTGATGGACTGGCATTCTCCACAGGGTGTCCCCCTGCTTCGTGTCCAATGCCATGTGAGAGAAGCACCAGGAACCCCTTTAATGACGCTCACCTGGATAATTGTTGGGTCATCGCATGGAGTCAGGATGGCCTGAAACCACCATGGAGGAAAATCTACCAGCATCTCAATTTTGGTAAGCATGACAAAGCATTATTCTTCTCGATTAGCATTGATGTTAACTATCATACAAAAATGACTATCAGCTCATGCTTGCTAGATGGTATCTGAGGCAACTTGCCTGGATTAAATGTTCTACCAGGTTTGGAATCTGGTCAGAAAAGTCAACACAATATGGATAACATTTACCTTGTGCTTGTCAGACCTTCAGACAGCTTTTTCTGTATCTAAAAGATGTTCCATAGCACTTTAACTGCACCTTCATAATGCATTCAATATGCATTCAAAGTATATTCAGTCGACCTTCACAATGCATTTACAATGCATTTATAAAACATTCATAAGCAGCATGTAAGTCTACCTTAACATGCATTCATAACATGCATAACATAGCATTGCATTCATAATCCTTTCAATGAACAAGATATGACGGCAGTTACATTGATAACAAACAATATAATCGTATGAATCATATATTTAAGTACTGAGATGTGTTAGGATGTTAAGGTATGCTTACATGTTGCTTATGAATGTTCTATAAATTGATTCTGAATGCATTATGACGTAGAACCAAATGTCCTTCGAATGCATTATAAAGGCATTATGAACGTGCCAGATTGCTAAAGTGTTACCAGATGTTCCGTCTGGTAGAAGAAAAATGCTGCAATATGATTGATAAAAACTGCTATTAGTATTAGATTAACTCAAAAAATCTAGCAGAGTGCATGGCCTCAGACCATGCTTTTAAAAATGCTCCCTAAACCAGTATGGAACAATGAGAATCATAGTTAAATATGTAAACCAGTATCTAAGGCTGGTGGTACGCATGTTATCTTTGTCTCTAGAACAGGGTGGAGGGTGACCTGATTTCTTTTGCTGAATTTGTCTTTACTCAAAAGCATGCATCAAATGGGAGGTGAGCTGTGAGTGAATGAGGTTAGGCTAGCTGCTCGCACACCAGCCTGCTGTTTCTCTTTGCATTTAAAAGTAAATCCCGACGTCACAGATGTGCCGTATGTGCGTCCCGTCACAGTTTCTCTTCGCTGATGATGCTGTTCCATAATCTCTATGGCAAATTCAGCCATCCTGCCCTGGCCGCTGCTTAGTGTATTATCCACACGCATCCTTTGTGGATTATCGGTGCCACAGCAGATGTGGAATCTTCCAGATGTGCATGACATAACATGTCCTCATGCACTAGACCTCCATCAGATTAGCTTTTGAATGAAGCCCTTGTTCTTGTGGTTTGAGTATTTTTGCCAGTATGTGACTTGTTGTTTTACATTGTATTATTTAGGGTAACGCTGTATAAGAAGTGGACCGATGCAAAGTACCCAGAAACTATACTGTGTCCTGAAGTACCATTCAACCTTCCACTAAATCTTCACACTCCACCCCCGATACCGCTGCCAGTGCATCACCAGCCGCACCACCCAATTCCATCAGATTGCTAAACCAGTGACTGACTTCTGTCTACCATTGCATTATTTTGCCATTTTTTTAAATGATATTTTAATATATTTTTTGCCATTGTTAATATTCCATCTGCACTGTATCATTATCTGCACCTTATTTATTTTTATTTTCCATTTTACACTGTTTATACTTTTTTCTTATATAACTGTTTGCACTGTACAGTCTTGTATTGCACTGCTGTTTGTCCTGTACTGTCCTGGCTTTTATTGCATTGCTGCTTGTCCTGCAGTGTCCTGTCCTGTCCTGCATTGCACTGCTGTATCTCCTGCACTTGTCTTGTATTACACTGCTGTTTGTTCCGCACTGTTCAAGCCTGTATTACTCATCTCATGCCCTGTCCTGACTTGTATTGCACTGCCGTTTGTCCTGCACTGTCCTCTCTCATATTGCCCCGTTGTTTTTCCTGCAGTGTCCTGTCTTTTATTACAGTGCTGTTCGTCTTATCCCATGATGCCCTACCCCGCAACTGTAGCATAAGTATTTGACTGTGTTGCTAAAACCCCATTTAAAAAATTAAGTTTTGTTTTTTTTCCTTTTCCATCCGAAAATTGGCATTTTGTTACAGAAGAGCCTCATGCAGTGCTGTCCCTCCCCATGCTACTGTCGCAGTTAAATAGTGTTTGCAAAGGAATGAAATTAGTGTGAAGGCCCATCAGCTGGCATCAACGGGGAGCCCTGAGCGCTAAGATCAGCCTCATCATAGGGGCATCACTTATCCTAATGAGCACAGCTGTGCCAAGGCGGCCATTCCAAACGCTTAGCACTCAGCTGCTTCATCCCCCCACGTTGTCCTGATTTCTCTGACAAGATGTTGCAGCCTCGCTTGTTCTGTCACTCCCGCCAGCGGCTGTTCTCCCACCAGTTCTCCTAACCTTTATTAACTTACAAGATGTGCAGCAGCTCGGGGAGGTGTGCTGGCTCACTGGGTAACACTGTAGCCTCATACCTCTGGGGCTATGGGTTTGATAGCAGCCCTCGGCTCTGTGTGTGCGGAATGTGTGTGTTTCCCCTGTGTTTGCGTGTGTTCCCCCTGTTTGCGTGTGTTTCCCCCGTGTTTGCATGTGTTCCCCGTGTTTGCGTGTGTTTCCCCTGTGTTTGCATGTGTTCCCCCTGTTTGCGTGTGTTTCCCCTGTGTTTGCATGTGTTCCCCCTGTTTGTGTGTGTTTCCCCTGTGTTTGCATGTGTTCCCCNGTGTGTTTCCCCTGTGTTTGCATGTGTTCCCCCTGTTTGTGTGTGTTTCCCCTGTGTTTGCATGTGTTCCCCGTGTTTGTGTGTATTTCCTCCTGTATTTCTGTGTGTTTCCTCCCATATTTGTGCGAGTTTCCTCCCGTGTTTCTCTGGGTTACTTCCTATGTTTCTGTGTATTTCCTCCTGCGTTTCTGTGTGTGTTCCACCTATGTTTGTGCAGGTTTCCTCTTGTGTTTGTGTGTGTTTCCTCCTGTAGGTGTTTCTAATTTGCCTGTATTGTGTGGGTGTGGGTGTGTGTACCCCTTGATGGGATATCATCCCCTGGCTGAAAAGCAATACACTGACCATGAAATAAAGTATCGTCTCATATCATATTTCACCAATGTCATGACTGCCTGTGATGCAGTGTAATGACATCTTAAGGCAATGTCAATGTGATGTTTCCCGGACATTACACTGTTGACACGCTGTAAACACAAGACAGGCTTGGACATCCTGGAGTGGCCTAAAGTCTAGTGATGAACTCCTTTGTTTTTGTGCATTCCCACCATTTTACTTACTCTCTTTTCCCTCTACTGCACCCTCTTCCATCCTTCCATCTCCTTCTCACACAGAGTTAATGAATACCCTTCCCCACATCATAGTACAATGTATTATTTACATCTATACCTTGTCTCTCATTCTAATCATGATTCATTAAAACTGCCACCAATTGCTTAGATAGTATTTAAATTTGAATTTTAATTAAATTCTTTTAGAACATGTAAACAATTGCCGATTATTTAGATGTTTTACCTGGCATAATGTAAACAGTGTCTATTCAGTAATTAACTTCAAACTTGTCAGCTTGTGATTCACCAGGATGAAGTATTGTTTTTTTTTTTTAATATGGGCTTTAATGAATGCTGAAGTAATTGTTTTGCGTAACTGCAATTTCCTGTGCTGACTGGAATCTTCCCTGACCACATTAACCTTAACATGTTCATTTTCATGGCCTCATTAATGACTACAGAACTTTTTTTTTTAATCTCTTCTGTTGTAGTGATATCTTGTGCACAGTGCCTCCAGGGGCTGTGCTGAAATCTCTTAATGAAAATTTGTCCTTAATAATGAATTTAAATTACAGTTAAAGTTTAATAAGGCTGTACTATAGTCATTATGTGCCACAACCTATCAGGACCTATTGCAGAATATTAGCACCTCTGCTAATTAAGCTCAACTGACACTGATGGGACCATGCTATGTATAACAAGGGCCAGCTGGTGGATTCCAGCAAGGGAGGACGTAGTGGTACGGCGATGACAGTGCTAGTGTGTTAGTTGACATCAGGGCTTTGTTTTTGTTTTGTTTTGGTTTTGTTTCGTTGGTGCAGTTTAATGACCTTTCTTGTTTTTTAAGAAGACGTCTTTAGCTATATGAGGTCATGCCATTTTATACCACCCTTGTGACAGATGTCCGCCCCACAACCTGCTGCATTTTGAAGTTGGTTTGCTTTTCCTCTGAAAATATTGAAGGTAGTAACCGAGGCAACAAAGACAGCCTAGAGGTGTTTACTACTTGTGTTTGTGACTAAAATTGCAGTCCTCTCCTGCTGGTGGCGGTCAATGGGATATACAAACTCATTAGATGGGATCCTCAACTGCAATGCCTGGGTGTAGTCTGGTCTGGTGCAAGGGCTAATGATATCACTGTGCCTCCGTGTGACCTAAGGCATCCTGAACCTTGGCTGAGGAGAACTCTCTTTCTCGTTAACAGGAGAAACAGTTGTGGTCAATGAAGAGGCTTAATGAGGTCTTCCTTTCTTCCCATTATATTTCTTTACTGCTTTCTTCTTCTGCCTCTTGTTCTGTCATTAGCATACTTGACATCTATATATCCTTACTGTTTGCCTACAAAACAGAACCAATCTACTACCTCATGTTTTGATATCTGCATTTTGATTACATGGATACCTATAGTGCTTGTTTAATAATTAAAATTAAAGATTAAGGTTTGTGTTGTCTGTGATCCCAAGGTTACTCTCTCAGATTTACCACAGCCTCGCAATGGCAGGGAAATGGAATTCTTGCTTTGTGTGCGCCGTAAGTTTAGGGGGGAAGGGGGGGGGTAGAGACGTCACTGTAGGTTGACAGGTAGAAGGAGCTGCATTTTAAGTACCGGGAACGTGTGGAGGGGGCTGACAAGATCAAAGGGAAGGTATTCTTAAGAGATTCCATCCTTTCCCCTGGCGGTCCTCTGACCTTGACAAGATAAGTGAAGTTCCACCTAGGAGATCAGTGTTCAGTGGTGACAGTCTTTGTAGCTATGAACTCCTCCTATTCCTTTGTCCAGCATTTGTGCTAACAATGAGTCAGACTGTAAAACAGAATGACAAAATGTAACAATACTATTCTTATAACATTCCAATATGTAATTTTCATCATGTTAGAATGGGAAAAAATACCACCAAGAAACATTTATTTGTTGTACCATTATTCCATTTTATTGTGTGAGGTATTTCCTTCTTCTGAAAGGTAAATTTATTGTACCACTCTTTTATATTACATGTATATAGTGGAGTGTTAAGTTTTGATTTCACTTCCCATTTTCCTTCCAGAGCCAATAAGCATTGTCTCTCTGAATTATTATATAAAAAAAAACCAGTGCATTTATTTGTTTGTTTGTTTGTGATGATGTTTTACTGTCTCTTAAACTAGCAAAATACCAGCTTAATGTGGCTCCAGAAATGAGGAGCACGTTTTATAGGATGGCAGTAGAAGAATACTTCACATGAAGTGATAAATAATACTATGTTTACTGCTAGACAAGATTTCCTTTGTCATTAGATGTTGGTTGGGAAGGCCAAACCATAATCTGTTGGACATTCAGAATGAACTTTATTCCATTTTATACTCACACTGTGGACTTTTCGTCCATGGTACCTGCATCGCTTCTGAAGCTATTTAAAGCCAGAACAGGCATATAGGAAAGGCTCGCTTGGGCAAAGAGCTGGTCTGTTAGTGTCGAGCTGAGGAGCAGTCATGACGGACTGGCCAGTAGCAGGCGGAGCCTTGATAAGATTGTCTGACGAGACAGCGGTTACTGTGAGTGTATTTTTGTATATTCGAGTCACATGTATAATGCAATAACTACAGGGCTATGAGCAATTCAAGCCTCTTATGAAATAAACAAATATCTCTCTCTTATTATGAGGCACAGCATACAGCTGAGCCTACACTAGTGGCCAAAATTGTAGAAACACTTCCAGTTTTTTGGATCGCAGAACTTTATTCATGTGTTGCTTCAGTTACTTATTTATTCTTCCAATGTATGACATTTGTAACATTCTTTGATTGTTTATAAACGTTACTGCCAATATTCATGTAGTAATTTTTGAAGCACAATGCCAAAAATGTTTGGTGTTTCCAAAGTTTTGGCCACTAGGCTATTGATAGCTTACCGTACCATCGTAATAAATACTCCTTAACAAAAACTTCATAATATAAGCTATAGGATGGACGAGTGGCATAGAAGCAAATGGACAGCTTGTGATATAATGTGCTGCTTTACTACATTTCAAATTAAATGAAGTGTTGTTACTTCTGCAAGTGGCAAATAAGGCGTCATTTCATTTCATCATTTCAAAGCAGTGAAACAGGAATTGCTGTTTTCAAAAACACACAGCATTCTGACTTACTATTAAATCACATTTATCTCAGTTTCACTTACAGATGAAGAGGGAGAAAGTATGACAGAAGGCAGTAGGGGAAGCTTTTGGATAACACTGCCATAAAGAGTGTATTTTTACATATTTAGCTGCTTGACAACTCCAATTTAATAA